GAGGGCACCCTTGCAGTCTCTCTTGGGCATGGCCGCAAAACAGCCCCTGCTGCTTCTTCCTCCGCCTGTGTTTGGGGCGTGCTGGTGGCAGAGGCAGCCAGGCTGTGCTCTGCCTTCCACAGCCTGTTGGGAGTGTGTCGCTGTCAAGGCAGGACAGGAATGAGAAGACGGACTCCAAAGGCTACTGAGAGTAAAACTCTGGTGTTTTCAAAATACAGCTCTTTTATACAGAGCTTTGTGAGGATCAATTCCATTGCTCCTGAAGTGAAAACAACCCACCCCATTGGTGCAGAGTGCTTGACACACAGTGATAGAACTGAACTATAAACAATGTGAACAACACGAGAGATAAAGAATTATTTACATTCTTTTCCAACTCTTTCCCAGGCTTCTGCCTGGATAGAAACTCTCAGTTTCTCTCTTTGACTGAATCTGAGACCCACAATAAACTACCAGAGTGAAGGAGTTGGATGGGAGCATCTTGAAGAAGTACACGCTTGTCTCCCAGGCAGGCTTTAGAAATGTAAACCCATGTAGGAGGATCTATGCTTGAGGCTGGCTCCCCTAAAGTGAACAACTTCTAATTAATTTTTTTTTAAATACTGCTACAGGCTCCTCTTAAATTAAGGCAAAGTGTCTTCTACTTTCCCTTACAGAAAGGCATTTTAAATTATATTTAATCTCATTAGGAAGGGAAAAATAGACCAGCTATACTTCTAAGAGCTTTAAATATGTCTTTTTAAGCAGCATTTGAAAGAACACTATATCAACTCACTTTAACATGAGGTAAAGCACATTTAAACAGTCAGTTTGAAATACCACACAATTATAATATTATTGCAGACCCCTTGTTAGGAGGACACCTTACATAGGGAAAAATATTTGGGAAAAAAACGTTGTCACCAAGTTGTAATTTACTGACTCTGAAGGGGTTAAAAGATTAGACCAATAGAAATTTAAGATTATCCATCAAGGAAATGAGCCTTGAAATCTGTACCACAATGTATTTAGTTAGAATTTAATTTCTGAAAGAAATTATATTTTTAAAAAGTCACATAAATATTTTCAAATAAGGAAAGATGTACTGGGGAATCAGGAAGGGATTATGTCTCCTGGCCATTTCCTCCATCCAGAGGACTTTCTTTTGCAAAGCAGATGAATCGCCATTGCTCACCACATGAGCAATGAAAAGTCAATTCATCATTTTAAATCAATGGTCTCAGCTGATTCTGTTGAGCCTTGGAAAAGGCCTCAGGTGCTGGATGTGATGGTGAAGGCTGCCCTGGATAATGTGTGGGCAGAGCAAGGAGCAGAACCTCAGCATCTTTCTCCATTTTATTATATCACACCTGTGCTAACAGAAGAAGGTATGAACATGAAGACTGGTACTTATGAAAGAGGTGAAATTGTAACCCAGCCTTGTGGTTTGTTCCATGTACACAAAACCAAACCCAACATTTAACTCATGACTGGTGTGACCTCCCTCCTCAGAGGTCAGGACCAGAAGCACAAGGAGATGTTAAAAAGAAGGTTCAAACTGACAAAGAGCTACAAGTAAACACAAGTGTTTAGCAGAATCCCACTCTGTGACCAAGGTGTGTGTGTCATAGCAGGGCTGAAACGAAAAAAAAAGAGAGATTGTCATTTGTGTAGGTAATATGCTTAAGTGAACAACAGAGCTGGAATAATTTGTTATAGGATTTACAGAGATCCAAGAGAATATGAAACACAAGCATGCCATGCTGAGGAGAATCCTTAATTTTTGAAAATGGCTGGACAGTGGCATTCAGAAGTATTTTGCCAGCTCTATTATTTTTTTCTTCCTGGCCTTTTGACACCTGATATTGAAAAAACTAAAGTAAGGTTATGTTTGTTACTGCTTTCATGTTGTTCCTTCCTTATTAATTTCTGAGCCTCAAGACCTAAGGCAACTTTTTGGGGTAATGGGTGTCAGCTGGGGAACTCTGAAGATAGCTGTTGCTGCTAAATGAAGAAAATCTGGACCCTTTTCTACATTCTCAGTCCCACCCAAGCTCTTAAGAGAGAATTTAGCCCATGGCTCTAAATGGCAGGCACAGCACAGCTGAGAAATCAGTGCTGTGGAGATCAGATCACCTCAGAAAGGAGGATGTCTGTCATTCACAATAATTCTGTATTGCTATATACTTTACCCAGTGCAAAATGACCCATAAAACTTCATCATCTGTAATCCAAAACCAGGTAGGAAATGAAGGTAACAAGGAGCAATAACAGAAGTCTCCCTTCCTGGAAAAGTATGGCACTTCTTTCACTCTAATCAGTATTGGTACACAAAAATCTACTTGACCCTGCTCATTTGGGCAGATCTGATCAGAGACCCAGCAACCAACTCCTACCTCTTAGGGAAGGCTATTGATTCTTGTTACAGAAGCATACTACCTTCTAAACCCATACAAAGAACAGTTTCATCCTCCACACTAATGATTGCCAGAGTTTTAACCAGTTCCATTCTGAAATTCAAAATAGACATAACACTTGGGCACCTGTAATTATCTTTACAGAAGTGAAGATTTCCATTAGGTTGTGGCACTTTACATAGATGAGGCACAAAAATTACAGGATTCAGGGACCAAAATTTGAAAATGCACAGGATCTAATGTAAAACAGGATTCACATTTCTGGTGGTAAAGACAATTAACCACAGGAACACAGGAAGGTGATAGATTCACCTCCTCTGTAAGTGAAGATTGGATGACTTCCCCAGTGGTTTACTGTAGCTCACAGATGAGACAGTAGAAAAACAGTAGTTCTTTTCCACTTTGTGTTATATGTGATGTCCTAACAATGGCAATGAATCTTCTGCCTTTACTGTTAACAAAATTTGCAGTTGTTACCTGTCCACATTTGGACACTTTATCATCTAATAAACTTTTAAAAATGAAATGATATTATTAAACTCTAGAGGCTCAGCTGAAAACACTAGTGCATGGCATGCAGCTACTACTAAAATTAAGTTGTAAAATTGGTATGTAAATATCATTCATGATTCAAAAACCAGCCAGGAGAACAGAAACCAAAATAACAAAAGGTATGAGCTCTAATTGTATCACTAGGCATCCTTGATGCCTCTAATAAAGTACTGGAGCTTAGTTGCTGCTGAGAGGAGGAAAAGCTGATAGTACCCTGGTTGATGTTGCAGTACAAAGGAAGCAGAGAATCCTCATCTGCAGATAAAAGAGACATAAGCACTAATGAAGACATGATTAAAAAAAAAAACTCCCTCCCAGTCTAGTAGCCTGAAGGCATCTTAAGTGAAACATCTGAGAATGAAAACCAATCTGTTTAATTAATGCTGAACACTAATCATTAACACCAATTACATAACAAAAACTATCTCAAGACAGGGATTAATGCAGTAGGAAACCAGATACAGTAGACAATACAATAATTAAAGAGCTGAACATACTTGGTTCTCTGACAAGTTCTAGTACATTTACACTTGTGTAAATACAGGATTGTATCACTCAGCTGTGACCCAAGCTTTTCTCATAACTGGTTTGGCTTAACTGGCCCCTGAGTCAGCATTTTGTGAGTAGAAGGAGCCAGAGCAAAAACAGCAGCTGCTCACAGTCTCTTCTTAAGCAGCAGTGAGGTGGCATCAAATCATCAAATCATCAAATGAGGACAGGAAATTACAAGTTCAGAATACATGAAGGAAGTTACCTATTTCAAATACTGCAAAAGATTGCAGATGCTACAAAATATAGCGATTCCAAAAGTGAAGAAATACCAGCATCGTGGGTGCAAAAGGAAATAAAACTCTACTGAGTTGGAAATTGGAACTGCAAATGTCAGAACACAGTGTAAAATCTGAGGAAATGGGGAATGATTTGCTTGTTCATCCAGTCTTTCCCATTCCTGTTACCTGAGGCTGGCTGTGGCTGGACATGAGACAGTCCTTTCAAGGCCATCCTTTTACTTGGAGACTCTGAAATTGCATCTGTCTTTTTTTCTTTTTCCTCTATTAGGAACCTATAGTGACTTCTACTGTGAATGCTAAGGATACTATAGGATTTTCAAACTGTGCAGCAGGGTTACTTGGTGTACACATATAATTGCAGGTCAAATGGCAAAAACAAGGCTGGTTGCCTTGTCTGTGGTGTGCTTCCATTTTAATTGCACCTTGAGCTCTTTGCCTTCTGCTGCTGCAAAGCTGAGAGATCCTTTTAAGATGGAAAAGATGCCTCAACAGCTGCAGCCAGCTCTGCTCTCCCATAGGGCTGGAACTGCTGCCTGCCCACAGGTAAAATAAGCACAGCTCATCCCTCCACCAGGCAGGTTGTGAGTTCTGATTGCTGAGTCCTCCCAGCTTCACTTTCCAAGGGGCTCTCAAAGGAGCATTTCTGTCTCTGGTACAGCAATCTTCACTTCCAAATACCTGCAGGGATCCCTTGCTGTGCCCTTTGCTCCCAGCACCCTCCTTCCCAGGTGCTCTCCTTTTTCCTTTAAATCTAACAGAAAAAGCTGAGGTACCCAAAAGCAAACAACCCAAATGGATCATTTTCTTGTCTGATCTTTGCACTGTGCAAAGCTCACACCTCCTGCTGGTGGACATAAAAGCTCAGCAGTGCCTCCAAGAGATGTAATAGTTGGTGTTATCAAGAAACTACTGAGCTGCTGTGTCTGATACACTGCCCACCAAGCAGCCAGGCAACACACCACCCTTCATCACCTGCTCACTCCCTTTGCAGCTCTGAGAGATGCTCACTCAGTTTAAGTCATTTGGCCAGAATTGGTTGTCTCAGGGCACTGTGCAAAGCTGAAGCCCTTTCTCTCCTTCCCTCTCTGGTTAGTTTCCTCTACCTTCCCCCTAAAAGAATCAGAGCAGAATTTTGCTCAGTCCATCCACTCCCTTCTGTTCCTGCTCCCCATTAACAGGGAAAAAGCTTTCCTTCGTCAGATTTGTTGGTCTGTGACTGACAAGCAATTACAATAAGTAATTTCATTTCAGTGGAAGATAATAAAACGTGATACCATAACTACCCACAGAGCCCCCAAAGTATTCATGTTCACTTTAATAACCTGGTGAGATGCTGTTAATCTTGACAGAGGCTGCCCAGCAGGTGCTGGGGAGCTGAATCTTCATATTCTTTCCCTGTTTGATGATCCTTCTACAGGGAAAGCTTCAAGCTGTTAAAATGCAATGGTTCTGCTCTATTTTTTAATTACATTCAGTTTATTAGAGATACAATCAGATGCATAACTAATTCTGGAGCCTGCCCTACCTTATTGAGAGGGAAAGGGACATCTGACTCATTTGGGCTCTCACAATCTTGGACATGTGGAGCTGTTGCCCTCTGGGAGACAGAGGCATTGAAAGGAAATTCACAGCAGAGGGGGAATTCTGTTGTTTTCAAAAGCGCATGATTTTTACTGATATTTCCCTGCCATGCACAGGGACCTCTTTGACAATAGTTGCCTTTTTTATCAGATGTTCCTCTTAAAGCCAAGATGTGCCAAGGAGATCTGGGTGCCTGTTTGCCATTTAGAATTCAGTCTGCCTGTTTCCTCAGAGAGTAAACGAGCTGTGTAAGGGGGAGGGGATAGATGCACCTGGTGCCAAAAAATATAGGCCTCCCACCTTTAGAAAATCTGTCTTTACCAGCACTGCAGAAACATGAGCTTCCCTTGAAATGACACTCCTGGGTGCCCGAGATGAGGAGTAGGGAGAAAGCAGAATTTACACCAGCAGCACATTGGTGTTTCAACAGTGAAATGGGACTGCTTTGAAAGCATCTTTGAAAGCCTGGGAATTTCTCAGCACATGCATCACCTCGGTGTACACCTGACCCTTCTGACCCAAGCTCCTGCTCCTGAGCAAGCAGAATCCCATCCTGCTACGAGAGCAGAGACAAAACCAACCCCTCAACATCCTGCCAGCACTCCAGAGGGGATCACCAAACATAGGATTTGCTGAGCCCAGAGAGGAGCTCAAGGCTGGAGCATGGCACCCTGAGCTGTGCCCATGGCAGAGAGGAGCCTGCTGCCTGATCTGTGCAGAGGAAACAGGGAGAGGGAGCAGGGCCCAATCAGCATCAACGGCCCTTTTTGTGACAAACCTATTTTTAAAACTTCTTTAGCCATAAACACACAATAGTGGAGGCGACAAAGCAGAGACCTTCCTTGGAGAGGGCCAGTTCAGGGGCTGAAATGTGAGGGTGTTCCTTTTAAATTAAATGGAGAAAGCCAAAAGAGCTGCTTCCAGCCAAGGCAAATGAGGCTATTGCTGCTAAAACTTCCACTTGGGAAGCCAGAGTCTAGCTATAAGATAAACTGGAAGGCCAGCATGTTCCTCATCAAAACCACAAGCTGCTCTTCAATAGCATCTTGCTCATGTTAAATCCACAACTGTGATTAAATTGTTTTCCAAGTTCTTGAGAAGTAACTGAAATGATCCAAGGAAATTACAACAATAATTGTTATGGCTGTCTCCCTCTTGCAAAGGTAATATGCAGATTTCCATCCCCCAGCAGGTGGCTTCCTGATATGACCTCTTCCTGATATGATTTATCAGAAAGGAGGGTGTACATGGCTCAGATCTCATTCTGCTGCAAACTGAGAGATGGGAAAGTGTTGTGGTTTGACACTGGCCAAACACCAGGTACCCACAAAAGTTACTCACACACCCTCCCTGCCACAACAGGGCAGAGGGGAAGGAAAAAATTAATCAAGCATTCATGAGTTGAAATAAGGAGTAGCAGAAAACACTCCAAGGGCAAAACAGGCTCAACTTAAAATATTACTAACAAAATCAGAGGAAGATAATAGGGAATAAAATAAGCCCTTAAAACACCTTTTCTTCCCCCAGCCCCTCTGTCCTTCCCCCCTACAGCTCAGGGAGACAGGCGTGGGGGTTTGGTCAGTTTGTCACCTGAGGTTTTCTCCTGCTGCTCTGGGAGAGGAGCCCTTCCCCTGTGAGACCCTGGGGTCCCTCCCACGGGACACAGCTCCCCGTGAGTTCCCAGCGTGGATGGATCCTCCCTGCTGAGCAGCAGAGCTGCCAGAGCTGCTGCAGTGTGAGTGCCCCCAGGGCAGACAGCGCTGCCCAGACTGCTGGGCCTGGGTCCCCCTGCCA